GCTGAGCGAAATTCAAACCGAGGGAAAGGCAGAGGAAGGGGACGACCGCCCGCCCGGGCGCGCGTGTGCCTGTGGGGACACGTGTGTGGCTCCGTGCGGCCAGGGGACAGGAGCTGTTTTCCCGGGTGCTGGGGGCGCGGCAGAGGCTGATGGGGGTGGGGAGGGCCCGAGGAGAGAAGGCCCTGCCCCCCGCGGGAGTCCAGATGCCTGACCCCAGGCCTCTCCCCTCCTCCCCGATGGACAGGTGACCCCACCTGGCTACTCTATCGGGCCAGCAGGGAGGCCGGTGAGGGGACCCAAGCGCGCTCCTCCCCTGCGCAAAACGCTGCAAACGCTGGCTGTCGCTGACCGGCGGCCCGGGTGGGTCACACAGGTGTCCAGGTGACAAGCTCGGAGAGGTCCATCCCTCCTGCAGCTGCCCTGTCCTCTCCCTGGACCAGAGAGATGCAAAAGGGGGAGGTTGGGGGGTGCTCGCGCGTGTGCACTCACACACACACACGCTCACACACACACACGCTCACACACACACGCACACACGCTCACACACACACGCTCACACACACGCACGTGCGCGCACACACCTGTTCCTTACAACATGGACACACCCGCACTCGGGTGGACACACGCGTGTGCACAGGTCACCACCGCCAGGTGGAGCGACAGGCCCTGCCTCCTGCCCCCCTCGGAGGCCTAGGCCCCTACGCGGTCAGCACATTTGTGGGGTCACCCAGGTGCCAGGTGCCACCGAGGCACGAGGGGGGCTGCACCCTTTCCCTCCAGGAACCCCCAGGGTCCCGAGCTGAGGAGACAGATGGAGGGAGGTTACCCATGCGACGCGGTGGCCAGGAGGATTTGGGGAAGGCACCCAGGTCTGTCTGGGGCTCTCAGAAGCCCCAGGCCTCATTCTGCCTGGGTCCACAGAAGGCACAGGCTAGCCTGGGCACACAGGCTGCAGGTGGGCTGGACTAGAACCCAAGTCCTGGGCTCCCGGCTCAGTGCTCTTCCAGGGACCCACGCTCCACCGGGCTGTTCTCTAAGGAGAAGCCACGTGTGTGCCCTGCATCTGGACAGTGAATCCCTACCCACGGCGGTGGCGGAAGCAAAGAATGGGCCTCAAGGTGGGCACTACCCTCCGATTTGGGGCACCCCCTCCGAGGGCCCCCAGTCCTGCTGAGTGGACCCTCTCCAGAGCCCCCGGCTGGCTGGTATCCTGGTTACACCCTCCTGGACATGCCATGCCATTGCTGCTCACTGGCTTTTTAAATCCTGTTCAGTGCCTTGAGCCAGTCACGAAGGCCTCGTCAGCCTCGATTTCCCTATCTGCACAATGGGGACGCTGCTGTGACTCCCTTCTAGGGCTCTTGGTATCATTCAATGCCACAATACGCATAACAGCCGAGTCTCCAAGAAATGCCAGCTCATTTTTATGATGATAGTTTGTAATGTGTTTTACAATATTAATTTCTTGTACCTACCCCGCCCCAGCACACATCTAGAAGGCTTTGTCTGTAAGAAATGGAATTTTTGTAAATTACTGGGTGAGTGTGTGGACGGATAAGGGGAGGACATTTCCCTGGGTGAGAAAGATTCTCCCTGCCTCCTCCCTTGGCCACCAGGAAAGGCTGGGTTAAGCCCCTTGGGGTCTCACAGGCCCCTCCAGCAGGGGGCAGAACCCTGGTTAGGTTAGGGGAGCCCCTGAGAAGTCCCCTACTCCTCCTGTCCAGCATAACTTCAGCTCTTTGGGTCTCAGAAGCCCCCTGGCGCCCCCACGGAAGGACCCCTGAGGGCAGTGGGGGGCTGTGCCTGGGGGTGCAGGGAACTTCATCTCCCTCGGCCCGCTTCCTGCCTCTCTTTTCTTCCTTCAGAAAAATGGAACAAGTTTTTCTCACTCAACACATTTTAACTTTTTTTTAGAAGATACAATAAAAACCAGGGGAAAATTGGAACAGAGGGAGGTGTGGGATGGGCCTGCCTCAGACATGGGCTGGGAAGAGGTGCTACACGTGTGTCCGTGTCACACCAACAGGCATGAACACGCAGGGCCAAGCGAGCTCCCCTCTGCACACCCAGAGAGGCAGAGATGTGGCAACAGAGACAGAAAGAGCCAGAAATGGAAGGAAGGAGACGAAAGGAGAAGGACACCCAGAGATGCCATCTGTTCCTCCCCGTGGCATTGGGGGAAGGGAGTTGGTGAGGGGCCTGGTCCCCTCCAGGCCTTGGAGAGAAAAAAAGAATGGTGGGCACCTCAGCCAGGTCTGGAAGACCCCCTATTTCTGTGGCCCACACCTCCCAGAGGGAGCAGGGAGAAAGGGGCTTGAGGTTCCCATGGAGACATAGCCCCATCCCAAGGGAGGCCACAGTCTGGGCACCTAAAATGGCTGCCTTGGAAGGGTGGCAGCCATTTTGTATAGCTCAGGTCTTGAGGGGCAGGGGTGACAGGGACTGAGAGGGGTGCGGGGAGCTGAGGGGGCTGAGGGGGCTGAGGGGCTGAGGAGCCACAGATAAGGTGGCTGGAGGAAGGCGATGGTCATTCCGGAGCAGGCTAGGGGAACCTCGCTCCGGGACAGGAAGAATGTTCTAGAACACTGCTCTCATGACACCTCCTGCTCCCCCTAATAAACCTGTTCCTATGTGAGTCTGCCTGCTCCTGTCTATTCTGACATCCAGCAGGACAACTAGCTGGCCATCCCTAACCCCAAATATGATAGGTGGGCACACGTGTCTGGA